TCTAGTTATGTCAAACTATTTTCACTTTTGACTTGGTTTACTTTTTTCATATTTGTCTTTTCAACTTATATCCTTGTATAAGAAAATCAAAGGGAATAGATTTATTTGAGACAAGTTACATCACAATGTGGATATGCTTATATAGGACCTGTGCCCAAGACTTTGAAGTGGTATAAAAATCTATATTATATATAGTGCCATCATTAAGAGCGTGGATTTTGCAGACAGAATATTAGCTGTGTGGCCCCTAAAGAGCTATTTCATCTTTCTAAGCTTCAGATTCACTGTCTAAAAAATGGGGATAAAAATAACTTGGTGGGTTGCTCTGAGAATTAAATGAGATAATCCATATAAGGCCATTAGCAGAGAGCCTGGCATAATGAAACTGCTCAGTGAATGTTAACTAGCATTATTATTCATAGCTTTTAGCTGACCATCTACTAGGCAGTTGATTGATGCTCTTACAGGCCTTCAGAGCCAGCACTGAGCACTGTACAAACAGTTCTTGCATGACAGACTTGTGCACAGATTGCAAGGACTCTGAAAAGGTGGTTCAACATATTGAATTGAATCCTGCCTGTTTTCTCCCAAGTCAGGTTCTGCCTCCGAGACTGTGCAGAACTTGTTGGAGACACACTGCCTGGCGGGGAGGCTGGGGAGGGGAGGGGGCAAGGGGATTGATGAGGGGAAGACTATGATGAGGAACACAGGATTTCTGCTCCTCTTGGCTAATTTTGGCAGTGGTTTTACTGTGGTGCATTTTTTAAAAATAGGGCTCTGGTTTGTTTTCTATTTCTCATTCATTTAGTGAATAATTACAGTGTGCTAAGCATTGTTACAGGTACTGGAGAAACAGCCATGAACAAAGTCCCAGCTTCCGTGGAGTTTAAATTTTGGTGGGGTTATCATGCTTGTTAGTAAATTTTATTCTCCTAGAAGTCTTAGCTGGCCCAAAATTCATCCTCCATGATAGCAATGAAAGGAACCCATGGAACACATTGCCTGTTCTAATCCATACTGAAAAGAAAGTTCTGTTGTGTGGAGTTTGGATTCCCTTTTGGGGAATTCCCTTTTGGGGAATTCAGTTTGTATTTTGTAAGGGGGGCACCAACAGAGAAGTTAATAACCTCAAAGGACATTCTTCCTATTAGTCCTCAAAATACTCATATGCATAATGTATTATCGTCATAGATGAAGAAACCGAGGCTAAGAGGGTAAGTGATTTTCCTAGTGGAAGTGGGACTCAAGATTTAGACTTCACATCTCCTGCTTTATTTCTTTCTTTTATAAATTGAGAGTTCTTTGCTCAACTGCAAACAAATAAATTCAATGGCATTAGCCCATTTGACAGTTGACTTGCTGTTGGTGGTTGGAATTTCTGGTTAATAGCTTTTACACTTTCAGATGGACCAGTCTTCATGGAATGTGACATAGCTTAGTGGTTCCCAAATGCTAGTCCATGGACCAGTGATGGCATATGACAAAGTTGTCACCAATCTCAGGCAAATGCAAAATAAATTTAAGTTAAAGGCTGTTTCTCTCATAATCTGTCTGCCCAAACTTCCACTGTGGAATGATCATGTCAGTAGGAGGTAGTTAGGCTTTTGTTTGTTTGTTTGTTTGTTTGTTTTACATGTTACTTTACAAAATAAAAAGTTGGCAAGCCTATGTCTGTCAATTCTTTTTTGGTTAAAGTTTACCGTTTGGTAAACTCGAAAGGCTGGGGAAACCTGATATAGCTAACTAAATGAAAAATAGAAGTTCTGTTTCTGGCAATATGGAATACTAGATATTAAAAAAAACCCTTCTGGTGCAGAGCACCTAAAAAAGAATGTAAAATTGGAAAAATTATATATTTTAAAAAATGCATAGTTGTATTGGCAAGAAAGGAAAATTCCTAGAGGCCAAAAATGACAAGAAAGCAGAAATCAGAGAAAACTACATTTGGGAGAGAGGAAACAAATCTCCAGGTGTTAGCAAGGTGGAAAATAGGACCAAAGACTCTTGCCTAAAGCTAGTGTTACCAAAAGATGACATCCTTAGTGAAAACAGGAGATAGAAAAAAAAAAATAGTGCCTCTCAAAGGAAGCCCAGTGAATACAGCTGCCTGTCTCACCCTTGGGATACAAAGAAGGGTAAATTTCGGATCTGAGAAGTTCATAACCGTGAGTTAGTCATTGGATTTAAGGCTAGAATTCCCACTACTAATAGGAGCTGAGAAATCCCAAGGAGAGAATTCAAAATAATCTGAGTTGCTTAGTGCTTCCAGGTGCCTGATTGGAGCAAACATGAATTTTCTCCAAAAGCATGTACTTTGATTTCAGGCCTCAAAAAATTCCTGCAGTTATAGTTCCAATGAACATTGGCTCAAAATTAAAAATCACAAAATAAATGAGGAAATAAGATGTCACAGGAAGACATCAAGAGAAACATCAAGAAATAGAATCAGAACTTTAAAAACTTCAGATATTAGAAAAATCAGATACAATATATAAGATAGAAGTTTCGAAAAGATAAGAAATTACCAACAATATTTATTTAAAAAGAATCAATTAGAACTTGTATAAATGAAAAATATAAAGGCTGGCATTTGAAAGTTTCAGTTGCACAGGTGAAAAGAGAGTTAATGAATGCGAAGATAGATATTTTCAGATTACTCTGAAAGCTCACAGGAACAAAGAGATTGCAAATATGGGTGGTAAATTAAAGAGAAAGGGAAGATAAAGTGAGAAGGTACAATATACACCTACTTGAAATTACAGAAAGCAGTAATAGAGATAATGGCGGAGATGCATATCCCGAGTGATAGTGAATGAAAAATTTCCAGAATTGATAAATACAGGAATCCTCAGATTCAGAAATCCTTATGAGAACCAAGCATGATAAATTAGAAAACCACACCTAGATATTTTAATAATATTAAAATGATGGAGTAGCAAAGATAAACAGGTCTTTAAAGAAGCTATAGAGAAAAGAAAAATAACCTATAAAGGAATGATAAGCTGACAGCTGATTTCTCAACAGCATCAATGGACATGAGAGGTACACATTCACAATCCTTCACTGAAAAGTAGTTAACAAGCCAAAAGTCCCCTCTAAAGAGTTACATCTCAAAAGCTCTACATTGCATTAGCTTTAAGAAAACACCCTTTCCCCTGGAAGCTGAATGAACTGCTCCAAACTTGGAATTTAAATATGAGCATTTCTCCTTTATTTTTCCAATTAGCCACTTGTTCACATGTCCCACGTGCCTCATTATTATGAAGCTTAGCATTCTTCTGGCAGTTCTTATGCCCCCTGGATTAAACTGACAAAGAACATTGAGTGCTTACTTCCAAGTGGGTTAGTCCTCTTCTAATGCCAAATGTAGCAACAAATGAAATGCAGTTTATACCACCCAGTGCAGTTACTTTTTCATTGCCATACGTATTGCTGTTGAATTTTGCCTTGAAAAATTCCATGGATATTTGTCCCACACAAAGACAAATTTGGAATTTAAATATGGACATTTCCTCTCATTTTTCCAGTTAGCCCCTTGACTGCTCACATGTCTCAAAGGCATTATCATGAAGCTCAACCTCTCCTCCTGAGAGCCCTGCTGCCCTTTAAATTGACTTGTCTAAGAACAGTGGGCACTTACTCCTAAGTCTGCTTAGTCTGCACCTGTGTGACCAGAGGAGGCTGTTCAGTGACTCTCACAGAAAGGAGACCTCTAGATGGT